ATCGGGATGGGTGTGTCAGAGGCAGTGAGATTGGCACAGGATAGAGCAGGGTTTAGAGCTGTTGTACATAGGGTCACTATGAGTCACAAGCGACTCGATGGCATATAACAACAACAACAACAAGGCTAAGTAAGGTGTATAGCTGTGAAATGAATGTTCCCAGCATCTAATGTTAATAAGTGTTAATTCTTACTGTTTAGTGGGAGGCAGATGGGCAGTCTCCTCCTCTGGGATTTACAAACTCTGAAAACGCCTGGGAAGGTCAGCTATGATTTGGTTCTGACTTGTCAGTCATGAGTTGGTGATTTAAGTGCTGTGTTTACAGTGTGATCGGTCGAGTGTGTAGTGTGGTGGAAGGTTTGCACAGTGTGAGAATGACCAGGATGGGGACAGACCCACGTGAGCACAACATGTTGGGAAAATGGTGCCTATAGACTTGCTGGACTCGGGCTTGCCACAGACTTTCAAGCTGAAAAACACAGTAACTGGGAGGTGCTGGAAGGCAAAGCCTTTTCTCCAGGTGAGAGAAAGTGTTTGACGCCCAGCTATGGCTGTGGTACTAAGAAGCCCTCTTTTCTTACAAAACCTAGGGCACCAGAAGCAGATTGACCCCGACACATTCAGAGACTTCTACAACTGCTGGAAGGAGACAGAGGCTGAAGCACAGGCGGTCAGCCTGCCCGTGGAGGTCGTGGAGTACCTGGACAAAAGCGAGTGTGTCTACAAGCTGTCCGGTGCAGTCAAGACCAACCGCGGTGTGGGCAAGATCGCCATGACCCAGAAGCGCCTGTTCCTGCTCACTGAGGGGCGGCCGGGCTTCGTGGAGATCTCCACCTTCCGGAACATAGAGGTGAGGGGTGGTCACCAGGCCCAGGTGGAGCACAGTGCCTGTGTGCCCTGGCGGGCTGGGCTCAGTCTTCTCATCTGGAGAATGGGCAGGTGGCACTTCCTTATAACCAGGCTGTGAGGATGAATGCATCAGCGTGAAGTGCTTCCGGCCTCTCTCCTTTCACTGGTAGCCTGTTCTCCTGCATTTAAGGGGAGTGAATGTAAGAGCGTGTTGCCTAGTTCTTCCCCTAACTGCGTGCTCTTAGAAGCAGGTCAGAAGTGAACTGCAGCTGTGTGCAGGGTGAATGACATCACTGAGGCCTCGTCCTCATGACCTGTCACCTGCGTTGCAGACTTCCTCCTAGAAGGGTTGGAAGATTGGAATTAGAACATGGGCAATGTGGAAAGGGCAGAGTCCAACTTCTATGAATTCGGCAAGGAGTACCGTCCCCATCAACAGCATCCACACGCAAAACTAATTCCCCTGAGTGGAGCCCTGCCCTCCCACGCTCCTGCACTAGGTCTGAAACCCCTATCAATGACCACACAGACTTGACAGAGCTGTACTGACAGATACAGGGTTTATTATGGATGTTAACAAGCCATAATTCAGATTCACAGCAAGACAAAACCCTTCAGTTTAGAGAGCTTCTGTAATTCAGGTTAAAAGCAAGTACAATCCCCGAGTTCAGACAGATTCCCAGTCAACTACAAGATAAAAGCCCTGCGTCCAAGAGGAGTGTCTGGCCCTGAGGGACGTACCTGTCTGTTTTCCGCCTCCTCTTCTCCTGGTGGTGAGAGTCCGAGTCTGTACTGAAATCTGCTCAGTGGGACGCTGAGACTAGCCAGTTCTCCGTGGGTAGACGTAACATGCCCTGTCTGCGTGAGGAAGAGATGGCTCCCGCAGCTGTTGCTGATGTAGGTGGGCCAGCGTGTATGCAGGGCGGGCAGAGTTGAGGCTGCTGGATCGGAATAAAGACCATGGTCTAGGGAAGCTGAGTTCCTGGTAACAGACTTGCAACACTGCAGAGATGTGTCACTGCCACAGTGCACAAGAGCCCAGTGGGGTGGCCTTGTGTTGAAGGTGTCTCACAGCTCACATTCCTGCACGATGCCCTCTGGCTCCCAGACACCAGGCCAGCAGCCCCCGGCTCACTTCCACCCGTATCCCAGAAGTGGTGACTTTTATCACCTGACTTTTCCTCTTCAGGGATAGCCCTTCCGCAGGGATGGACCTTTGGCCACACTCCCTGACCCGTTTGTCACTCTGGCTGGTCCCAGGACTCCTAGCCAGACCCTCTGAGGTTCCCTTCCCCTGTCAGAGCTGCTGTTTGCTTCCTTACTCTTGTATGGGCATGTGAGCCCAAGTGGCTTCTTCCAGAATGTTCCAGTCCCTTCTACCTTTCTGGCTGTGATGTCTCAGGGCCCTTGGGAGACCCTGCCCTTAGCATGTGGCACAGAGCCTCCTTAAATCCCAGAGGACCCCTCCTCTAACTTCGGAGGACACCTCCTCTCGTCTCACCATCTGTGTGTGAGGCGGCTCACCCTCTTACCTCTCTGGCCTGACAGGAAGTCAAAAGCACCACGGTGGCGTTCCTGCTCCTGAGAATTCCCACCTTAAAAATCAAAACCATCTCCCGGAAAGATGTCTTCGAAGCTAACCTCAAAACCGAGTGTGACCTGTGGCACCTGATGGTCAAGGAGATGTGGGCCGGAAAGAAGCTGTCGGACGATCACAAGGTCCAAGGATGGGCTGGGGGGCGGGAGGGGGGGAGACATTTGCCTTCTGTTCTTACTCCAGAGTCCTGGTGGTGCAGTGACTGAACCACTCAACTGCTGACCAAACTACGAGTGGACTCAGCAGCCACCACGCAGGAGAGTGAGGTCTGCTTCCCTGAAGCCCCAGGATGCAATGCTGGTCCTCCCCACGGGCTCTCTGAGGGCAGTTGAGGGGATGGCAGTACTCTTGGTCTGTTTTGGGTTTTGTCTTGTGAGTGTGTCTAATAATAATAATAATAACAAATTATTATTATTATTATTATTATTATTATTACTACTATTATTATTATTATTTTAAAAACCCCTAAAAACAAACAGCCCATTGACAGCGGGTCTCCAGGGCTGTAAGTCATGGGAGGAGACTGCCCATTCTTCTCCTGTGGAGCAGCGGGTGGATTTGAACTGCTGATCCTTTGGTTATTGGCTGGATACATAACACTACACCGCCAGGGGTCCTTAAATAATAAAGCTGATAAGGAGCTGAGGACTGAGCTGGCCAGAGGCTCCCTAGAGGCATGGGAGATGTGGGTCTGATGTCCTTTGTGTGTGGCCTGGGGGACGCTGTGCTGAGAAGCTCAAGGTCAGGAGAGTGGGGTGGGCGAGTGGTGGCTGCCAGCCCTCTTGTGGCCTGATGACATCGGGGAGCATTGGAGCTGGGCGGGCTTGGCTCGTCCATCTGGCAGGTCAACATCAGGTGTCTGGGCTGCACCTGCCCTCAGCTGCTCTCACCCTTGGAGCTCACTGATGGGAGGCCCTACCCTGCGAGGTGCGGCTTCTGCCCCCTCATTGGCCCTGGGCCAAATATTTTGATGACTTTGACAAGAGCAAACTCAAATTTCGGAGTCAGCAGCCAGTGTGACCAGACAAGATGTGTCTGAGGCACAAGAGGGCAAGTCATGGGGTGATTGTGGCAGCCCCACCATTGGTCAGAGGAATGCTAGCCAAACTATCCCTGCCTTGGGGTGGACAGACACAGACTGTCAGCTACTTTTGTGATGGTGAGTTCCCCATGGCTACAGAAAGTCAGGGGTAGGAGAACAGGAGTGGGAGACAGGCCCAGACCCTTTGCTGGAGCCAAGCATCTGCCCTATGCCTTCGGCCCGACGGTCCTTCCTGCACAGACACACGTGGTTGGTTGTGTTGGCTTCACCATGATCCACAGATGCTGCACTCTCAAGGGCTGAGGGTTCCTGGCACCTTGCTTGTCTTTCCCGTTGTCCCCAAGTCTGTGCCCACATCATGCCCTGTTGTCCCCAAGTCTGTGCCCACATCACGCCCTGTTGTCCCCAAGTCTGTGCCCACATTGCACCCTGTTGTCCCCAAGTCTGTGCCCACATTGCTCCCTGTTGTCCCCAAGTCTGTGCCCACATCACGCCCTGGTGCCCTGTTGTCCCCAAGTCTGTGCCCACATCACGCCCCGGTGCCACATTGTCCCCAAGTCCGTGCCCACATTGCACCCTGGTGCCCTGTTTGACATGCTTGCTGTGTTTCCAGCTTCTGTCCTGCTCCTCCACACTTACTAGATGTGTAGAAAATCAGAGAAGTCCTGTAGCTCGCTTTACTGTGGTAACTGCTTTGTGGGAGTGGTCTGGAACTGAACCATGGTGTCGGTAAGGTGTGCCTGCAGTTAGTGGGAGTCGGTGTAGTCAGACCAAGACTTAGGGCGCATGTCAGTGTTTGTAGAGTTCTCTTGGCACACAGCCATGCCTGTCAGCTTGCGCAGTGACAGTGTGGCCCTTGTAGAGATCTGAGCAGGTACACAGGGCTGCATCCCAAGCCTGGCTCTCCCAGAGAAATCCTGCCACTCCTGATGGGAATGGGGAATGTCTTTCTTAACTGAGATGGAGAGGAAGAGTCCTTGACTGCAAGGCCAAGGCCAAGTGTACCTCTCCCTTAAGCCCTTCTTGTTGCTTTGAGCGGAGTCCTGTTTGAATGCAGCCATTGTGTTGAAGTCCTTCTGCTTCTTGTTAGGACCCGCAGTACATCCAGCAGGCACTGACCAACGTGCTGCTGATGGACGCTGTGGTGGGCACGCTGCAGTCCTCGAACGCCATCTATGCTGCCTCCAAACTGTCCGTCTTTGATAAGATGAGGAGTGAAAGTAAGGCCACACGCCTGTACCCTGCCCCAGGAGCCAGCTGACACGTGCTTGTTACCAACTCGGGGTCCCCCGCCCCATCCCACGTGCCTCAAGCTGTGGTCACAGTCCTGTCAGACCTGCACTGCCACGACACTGGTCAAGGGTCTAGGGGCATGTCTCATAGCCTGGGGCCGCAGAATGACCAATCCATCATTTTTCTCCTTAAGAACAAAATGAAATAAACAGCACACTTGAGCTGTTTACATCACCCAGACCCTTGTAGATACGCCTGCAGTCCCTCTGTAAACTGTTTAGTCTCCAGCTAACACAGCAGATGACCGCTGACTGTCACTGGCCCCTGTGTTCCTCACAGCTCCGGGGGAGTCCTCTCAGCTCAGGCCACCTGGGGAGCCCACAGACACCTTCCTGTGTCAACCTACCGTGGCTGAGGATTGGCCCGGGGGCTGCTGTGGTCCTGTTTGTGCCGCAAGGTCTGGATAGACACGCTGCCATTGGGTTCTGGCTCATGGTGGCCCCGCAGGATGGGGTGGCCGTCCTGTAGGGTTTCTGAGGCTGCAGACTGTCTCACCCTTCCCACGTGGAGCAGCTGGAGGGCTTACATCGCCAGCCCTTCAGTGAGCGGCCCAGTGCTTACTCCACAGTGCCACCATGGCTCCTTAAGAGAAATGTAAACCTCAGTTACGGGATGATCTGAGAGCTATGCGGTCGATGTGGCAGGGAGGACGTGTCAGCAGAGACACAGGGGAGCTGCACCCTTGGGGTCCTGGCCGACGCCCCTTGGAGGGTGTGGGGCTGCAGGATGGACGTCCAGGCCACAGCTTTCTCATGAAGTTGACAAGTGGGGACAGTTGTAGTGATGTCCCTGGGGGTTGGGGGCATCGGTGAGGTGTGGGGAAAGGCACTTGATGAGATGCATCAGATGGTCCCTTAGACACTGAGCCCAGGGTGGCAAATGGACAGACAGATGGACAGGAGTGTGGACGTTCCCCCCGGGTTAGTGCAGTGGGACCAGGCCTCTCTGAACAGGGTGGTGGTCCTGGTGACATTAGAGGGGAGGCCTGTAGACCGTAGACATCACATTGTCTTCTTAGCCAAGGACCAACCTGTCTTTCTCCCCAGTGCCCACGGGACCGGGCCATGTCCGGGGACACTTTGGTGTGTCCTAACAAGCTGTAAAGAGCTCTGGTGGTGCAGAGGACAAGTACCTGCTGCTAAGGACAGGGGTTCCTCCGTGGACTGCCCGGGGGACAGTGTAGAGGCCCGTCAGTTGGAGATTCCGGCTCTGGGAACCCTGAGGGCATGCCTCGGCCTGTGACCCTGCTGTGGGCGGACGGAGCTCAGTGACCCGGGTGCTGACTGAACACTGACATCTGTACTTGCATTGCAGTGCCCTTGGCCATGCCGAAGGCCACCTCGGAGACCTTGAAGCACAAGATCAATCCCTCCGCTGGCGAGACCTCCCCGCAGGCCATTGACGTCTTGCTGTACACGCCAGGTGAGGCTCTCACAGCTGACCACTGACGGTTGGACGGTGCACACCCTAGATTCAGTGGGCCCCCCCCCCAGGACAGTGAGTGCAGGCGGGTGTGCTGTGCTTTTGAGGGGGGGCCCTGTGTGGGGACAGTGCAGCTTCAGGTCCTGTGGGGTCCTCCCTTCCTCCCTGGCCGGTCCACGCAGAAGCCCATGAGAGATTCATTTCCTCCACAAAGTATCAGCCCCTTCCGTGCACACAAGACTTGTTGACGTTACTGTCCCACCGCCATCACCATGATGAAGTGACGTCCCCTTGGGTGTCCATTCCTCAGAAGCGGCCCCATCAGTGCGTCTTACAGCTCAGCTCTTGTTCAGGCACCTGCCTGTTCTCCCCTGTCCGTGAGCGCTGGGGCCTCGCACAGGCCACCCGAGGACAAGGAAGGAGAGAGGCATCAGCACTGCTGTACCTCAGTGTGGACACAGGTCCCTGTCACATCCAGCACCTCTGGGGGATGCCCAGAGAGGGTCAGTGCAGAAAGAAGATGTGGGATTCTCAGAGGGACAAGAGTGAAAATCCTGTCACTGTGCCGGCAACAGATTGATGGTTCGAACCCACCGCCTGCTCCCTGGGAGAAAGATGAGGCTGTCCGCTTCCGTGCAGATGGCGGTTTATGAAACACAACAGGCCTGGACCAGACCTCCTGTTACCGAGTTGGTTCTGGCTCCAGGCGCCGCTCTGTCTGGTGTCGAGGGCTGTAAACCTTTATTTACAGACTGCCCATCCTTTCAGGAGCAGCTGGTGGATTTGAACTGCCCACACATGACCTGCAGCACCAGGACTGCCGGGAGATCCTGCGGGGCGTCTGACTCGGCTGCTCGGGGCCGCTCAGAGTCAGAACAGCCTGACGCCTTGGTGCTGCGTCGGGTTCTGGAGTGGGCACCTAGAGGAGCCTTGGGGTGGCTGTGGTTAGCACTTGTCCAATGACCAAGAAGCCAGGGGTTCGAGTCCCCCAGCTGCTCCCTGGGAGGAGGCTGAGGCTGTGTCCTCCCATGAAGATCACAGCTTTGGGAACCATGTGGGCAGCTCCACTCTGTCCTGCGAGGTCGCTGTGAACCGGGGGCCCTGAGTGGTGGGCTTGTCTTAGGAGTCCCTGAGGACTTCTGAGTCACCTCACAGCTGTCTCACGGCTCACTGGGCTGAAGGCTGCATTTCAGGTGGACACAGACGGGTCTGTAGTGAAACAGTCCGCTCGGGAGAAGTTTTCTTGCTTCACTGAAGGTCAGGTGGGCCGGTAAAGCCGGGCACTGCTTTTGACAGGGAGGGAGTAGGGCCGCACGTGTCCTCGTGGGTCTGGCTGGATGCCCTAGTCAGGGTTCTTGGTTTATGCCACTAGCTTTCTTATTTCTAGTATTTTTTTCATGAGTTTCCTATTTTTTAATTGAAAGCATGATTAATTTTTTTTGTTGATATCCACAACAAAATGTGCACCAGTTCGCCTGGGTCATTGTCGCTGACCACATTCCTCAGGTCTGAGCCTTCTTTTCTGACCTGTTCTCTACCACCGACATAAATACACTGCCCTGTCTGGTCCCTGTTGAAGCATTCAGGTTGCTGCTGTCGCTTTGATCTGTATGTAAATGTTCTTTGCTAGTGAAGCTAAACTGTTACTTAGTATCAAGAAGCATAGTTTTGATTTAAGGTTTAAAGACTCGCAGGACAATATTGTCAGACTGTTACACAGCCTTCAGGGCTCTAGGAAGTTGAATCCATGTTGTTGTTGTTGTTGTTATGTGCCGTCGAGTCGTTTTCGACTCATAGCGACCCTGTGTACAACAGCCCTAAACCCTGCTCTATCCTGTGCCAACCGCACCGCCTCTGACACACCCATCCCGATTACCCCAGTCACCGAATCAATCCATCTCATAAAGGGTCTTCCCCTCCTGCGTTGTCCCTCAACCCTCCCAAGCATGATGTCCCTCTCCAAGGACCGGTCCCTCCTGGCAACATGTCCAAAGTATGTCAGACGAACTCTGAAATTATGTTCTGCATTTCCCCCCTTTTGATGAGGCTTCTGCTATACAGTCTCTGACCACAATGTTCAGGAGCGTTAGCGGGCACCATCCTGTTCTGTCTCAGGTGAAGGAGATAGGTGTTCAAGGTTCTTTACTAAATTTCTTAACACAACAAACAAGGACATTTTTCATCCTGGTATATGAATGAACCAAACTGTTTTAGATCCAGTGGTTGTAGCATTAGAGACATTGTAGGCAATATCAGATGGATCTTGGCAGAAAGGAAAGAGTACCAGAGGAATGTCTATCTGTGTTTCTTTGACTATGCAAAGACATTTGACTGTGTGAATCACAATAAATTGTGGCTAACCTTGAGGGAAATGAGAATCCTGGATTACTTGTTTGTGCTATGTGAAACCTATAACTTGGACCAGGAAGCAGTCTTCAGAACAAAGCAAGGAGACATTGCATTGTTCAAAACTAGGAAAGGAGTGCATCAGGGATGTTTCCTATCTTTCTATCTATTCAATTTATATGCAGAACAGATCATTAGGGAAGGTGGGTGTTATGAGAAGGAATGTGGCATCAAGATTGGAGGAAGACTCATCAACAACCTACGTTATGCAGATGACACAACCTTGCTTGCTGAAACTGAGGAGGACCTGAAGTGCTTCCAGCAGAAGGTCAAGGTCTGTAGTCTTCAGTATGGATTGAAGCTCAACATCAAGAAGACAAAGAAAGATTCTAACCACTACTCCAGTTGGCAGGACCATGATAGATGGAGAAGAGATTGAGGTTGTTTACAATTACAGCTTGGTCAGCTCTACAATCAACATTCTTGGCACAAGCAGCCAGGAAATCAAAAGATGAATTGAGTTGGGAAAATCAGGGACCTCCCTAGAGTACTAAAAAGCAATGATGTCAGTCTAGAGACTAAGGTGCGCCTGATCCAGGCCATGCTCTTTGTAATGACTTGCTGTGTGACAGAGAGCTGGACAGTGACTAAGGATGACAGAAGAAGAATGGTTGCCTTTGAGTTGTGATGTTGGAGTAGAGTCTTGAACATACCATGGACTGTCAAGAAAACAAATTAGTCTGTCTTAGGTTGAAACGAAGTTTCTCCTTGAAGGCTAGGAATTTGAAGTTCTGTCTCACATACTTTGGACACATGGCCAGGAAGGACTGGTCCTTGGAGAAGGACATCATGCTCAGAAGGGTGGAGGGACAGCACAGAGAGGAAGACCCCGGATGAGATGAATTGACACGGTAACTGGAGCAATGGAGGTAGGTGTGTTGTAGTCAGTGAGACTGGCTCAGGACAGGGCAGGCTTCAACACTGTTGTACAGAGGGTCGCTGTGAGTCACAGGCGACTTTATCAGAGGGTTGCTGTGAGTCACAGGCGACTTTATGACACATAATAGTAGTGAGTAGTTTCATAGTTTTTAAAAACAGACTGTCCTCTGAGCTTCCAATCAGGAAGGACTAGGTAATTCAAGTTTACTGGCTGGACAAATGGAGAACGCTTAATGAAATGGATTTAAACCAGACAGATCCATGTTAGCTTAGTGAATGGAGTAGATGGCCCATTTGGAAGACTGAGGACTTTAGGCTACTTGAAAACAGAAGGAGCAGGAACTTGGGTGGCCCTGTGCGGTCACGCTGCTTCAGCGACCAGGTGAGTGTCTGCATGGAGCCGCTGCTCGGCCCTGGCCAGCCCAGAGCCTGGTGCCGCACTCCACTGACCAGCCTTGGGCGCAGCTCTGTCCCCACGCTGCGCCTTGCTTGATGAGAAGGTTCTCCTCTAACCTTTCCGGTTGCTCCTCCTCTTCAAGGACATCTCGATCCAGCCGAGAAAATCGCAGACGCTCGGCCCAAGCTGTGGTGCGCGTTAGGAGAAGGCAAGGTGGTGGTATTCGACGCCTCGTCGTGGACAGTTCACCAGCACTGCTTCAGAGTGGGTGCGTCCAGACTGGTGAGTGACCTGAACCCCACCCTCCAGAGTGGGTGTACCCAGACTGGTGAGCGCCCTGACCCCCACCCTCCAGAGCTTCCGGGGTGACGTTTGAAACTCCAGCCGGCCTGGCCGTCCACATCTGGGGTGTGTGTCACATTACGTGTCACTCCATGGCCCCATGCAGACCTTAAAGTTAGGTGTTTAATGTCTGTTCCATTCTGTATTTCTCCCTCTCCCTGCCCATCACCCAGCCCAGCGAGCTCTGGAGTTCTGGTGTGTAGTCCACAGAGACTCCAAGTTCGAATCCGCCAGTGGCGCTGAGGGAGAAAGATGGGCCATTGCTCTGTGATTCTCGTCCTCAGAAACCCACTGAAGGGTCAGCTGTGAGTTTGTTTTCACTTGACTACAATGAATTTGAGTTTTTCAAGACTCATTACTGCTTAAAGACTTGTCCTTGATTAATGAAGCGACAGTTTCCAGGCTTTGTTTTAGCTCTGGGACTGTGAGTTTACTGTCCTGTGCACACTTAAATGGTGTTGACCGTTCAGATTTGCTGACTTCTGGTCATCTCCTGCCTGTGGCTTCATCGCTTTGTCCCAGGGTCTCTTGCCCTCCTCCCCTTCCTATGCTGCGTGTAACCTGGGACAGCTAATCGCCTTCCCATGTTTCATGTGAAGCAGTAGCCTAGGGCATTTACATAACATAGTATTAGGCATACTTCCTATAGAAACTTTTTAGTTATTTCTCTTTTTTTGGTAAGTGCTGTTTATTTTGTTCTTGAGATCACGCACGGCAGGACAGAGCCGTTCAGGTCTGAGCAGGTCGGTGATGTCGGTGATGCTCATGACGTTTAGAGTCTGTTGATCGTTCCTACCCCTTTTCTGAGTGTTCCTTCTTCTCTAACACACAACACTGCCCCCTGAGGGTCTTTTCTAATTTTCTGAATTTTTGTTGTCACTTTAAGGATCCCTGGTGGTGTGCTGTGTTAAGTGTTGGACTGCCGATGAGAGGATGGTAGTTTAAACCCACCCTTCGATCCCTCGAGAAAGAGGCGCCTTCTCCGTCCTTTAAGGTTGACGGCCTCGAAACTAGTAGAGAGTCACCGTTAGTTAGAACTGACGAGTGGAAGCGAGTTTTTGCTGTCAATTCATTCCCTTCCAGATAGTTCTTTTTTTAAACAAATTTTTTTAAAGGTTTTTTATTTTAATTGTTATTATTTTGTGTGTGTGTACCGTCACATCAGATCTGACTGGTACCGGAGGAGATTGTCTCTCCTTCTCCAGCAGAGCATCTGGTGGGTGCAGATAGTTCTTAAAAGAAGATCGGCCCCAGGCAGACATTCTCTACTGGTTAAGCTAAAGTACTGTTGGTTTTAAGAAGACTTCAGTGGATATTTTTTGTTTAAGATGTAAAGATTTTTTGCAGGGTACTAGTTTCAGGGGCTCCCCCAGCCTCCATGGGGCCAGAAAGTCTGAAGCCCATTAGAATTGGAAAGTCTGTTCTGTATTTCCCCTCTTTTGATAAAAATTCTTCTATGGAATCACTAGCCAAGCCCCATCCAGTTGTGATTTCAGCATAGAAGGTATTTGAGACAGTCAGACACGCCTGCCGTTTCCTCCTCCTGTCCTGTTCTGGGCAGGTAGAGGCCAGTTGTGCCTTAATTAATTGCACAGTTGTTGTTGTTGTTGTTGTTGTGTACCATCGAGTTGGAACTGACCCATAGCTGACTGACTGGCGGGTTTTCACAAGCAGTAAGTCACACAGGAGGAGATTGCCCATCCTTCTCCTGCAAAGCAGCTAGTGCATTCAAACCATGTACCTTTGCATTGTCAGTGCAGTTCCTTACCATGAGCCAGAGACCCAGGCACCACCCAGTGAGGTGGGAAGGAGAGCCCACGCATTGCTGTTGTGTTGGCTCTGACTCTTGACAACGCTTCATCAGGTAAACAAAGCTGTAAGTCTTATTGGAGGATGCTGCTTTGTCTTTTTTCCTGGTAGATTTGAACCACCGACATCTCCGTTAGCAACCTAACATGTAACCCACTGTACCACCAGGGCTTCTAGGACATAGAATGCTAAACATATTATTTGGCCAGTTGATTCGGAAGTGCCGTGAATCTGTGACCTTGACTCTCTAAACAGAGGAACCAAGTCTCAGAGATGCTGTTTTGTGTATAAGCAACCTCAGCAATTTCTCTTTTTTTGTTGTTGTGAATGTATCTGTCACATAACACTTGAAAGTTTAATTTTGTACAGGTTTATAACTATTGACAATAATTACTAATCATCTGGGCAGCCCTGCTCTTAATCAATGCAATTTCCCATCACTGTCAACTCCTTCCTCCTCCCTTCTGCCCTTGGTAGCCACCGGTAAGCTCTGGTCTCTATACATTTGCCTTTTCTTGTCCTTTGATGTAATAAAACACTCACTCATTGCTGTTGAGCTGGAACCAGTTCATAGCAAACACTCCAGTGGGTTTTCAGAAGCTGTAAATCGTATGGGAGGAGAGAGCCCGTCGTTTTCCCTCAGAGCAGCCACTGGAGAGGCGCCATCTTGGGCTGGCAGCAAATCTCCCTGTGAGGACGCGGCCAGAGCTCGTCCAAGTGTGGCCGTAAAGTATTGTCCTTTTGTGATGGGCAGATTCCAGTCAGCATAATGTCTTCCAGCTCCATCCATCCCAGAGCATGGATCCAGACTTTGCTTTTCCCACTGGCTTGTATGGACCACATCTTGTTTTCCACACGTCTGTTGATGGGCATTGATTTGTTCCCACCTGTGGTATTCGGAGCAGCTGCAGTGAATACTGGATGCACATCTGATGGGCATTGGCTTGTTCCCACCTGTGGTGCTTGGAACAGATGCAGTGAACACTGGATACACGTCTCTTTGAGTCTCTTCTTTAATGTCTTTGGGTCTCTCTTTTGTAAAATTTCTGGGTCATTGTGTTTCAGTCCTCTTTTTCGTTTTCTGAGACCGCCACACTGTTTTCTACAGTAACTGTGCCGTTTTAAATTCCTGCCAGCCATGGATGAGGGTTCTGGTTTCCCCATATTCTCACCAGCATTTGTTCTTTCCTGTTTATTTTAAAATCTCGCCCATCCTCCCTCAGATGCTCACTCTCATTGCTGATCGTTGGTTGTGTTCCTGAGGCTGGAATTGGGGGAGGAGGTTTCTGGTTTTCCTTCTGCTGAGACGCTAATGGATTCACACTGTTTGAGAGGTATGCCCTTGGGGTTAGGAATGCAGCTCCCTGTGGGCTGTGCACCAGAGCTCCTGTCCTGGGGGAGTGGGAGTACAGTGGTTTCTTGTTGTGGCTCTGATGTGAGTCTCTGGTAGACAGTGACACTAAGCGTTTTTCATGTGTTAGGTGGCCACCTGAATGTCCTCCGTGGTGAAATGGCTGCTCAAGTCCTTGGCTCATTTTTTTTTAAATTTATTTTGTTTTTTTGTTGACCTTGTGTGTGCCCTCCAACTTTCCTCTTTTACTCTCTAAGTTGTGTTGTGGGTTCTGGGATTTTCTACATATAGTAGAGTATCATCTATGAATAGAGATAATTTTACTTCTTTATAATCAGGATACTTTTTTTTTTCTTGTCTTGTGGCTCTAGTATTTTTAATACAAGATTATATAGAAGTTGGTCCTTGCTCCTAATTTCAAAGAGAAAGCTCTTAGTCTTCTCCATTGAGTATTAGCTCTCAGCTTCTCAGACATGCCCTGAATCCTACTGAGGAAGTTGCTTGTTATCCCAATCTTCCTTAGGACTTTTATCAAGAAAAGGATTAATCAGATACCTTTATATGTGGCTCTTTCCCTTTGTTTTACTGGCTTGGAGATTGCTTTTCGAATGGTGAACCATCCTTGCATTCCTGGAATAAATTCCACTTGGTCCTGGTGAATGACTCATTTCATAAGCAGTTGGATTCTATTTGCTAGTATTTTGTTGAGGATCTTTGCATCTGTATACATAAGAGATATTGGTCTGTAGTGGTTTTTTACCATTGATTTTTTATCTGATTTGAGTGTCAGAGTTATGTATGTTTGCTTCATAGAAATAGTTAAGAAATATTCTCTTTTTCTCTATCTTTTGGAAGAGTCTGAATAGTATCGCTGTCAATGCGTCTCTAAGCAGTAGGATTCTCCAGTGATTCTGTCCAGAACCTCCTATTGTTACTGAGCTGATCTGGTCTCTTCACTTGTGATGAGTCTATCAAAACTCTTTCATCATGGGTCAGCTTGAGTTGGTCATGTGATTCTAAGAATGTAGCCATTTCATCTAGGATATCCAGTTTATTGACATTTAGTTCATAATATTTTGTCATAATTATCTTTTTTTCCTGTAGGATTAGTTGTAATGTCCCCCTTAGGTTTATTTTGATTATTTGTACCTTTTTTTGTCTTTCATCAGTCTAGCTAAAAGTTCAATTTTGCTATCTTTCTTTGTCATCTAACAATACTGTGACTATCTGGGTCATAGTATTTGCTTTTCAAAATTATTGAAGTAAAACATGATGAGCTCAGAGTCATATAGCTTCTGAGGGGATGGAGAGGCCACTTTTATGCCTGAGAGAGGCCAACTGTACATTTGAGCAGGATAGTCAGACACAGTGACGTTATTTTTCCCCTTTTATCCAAATAATGACTCTCTAGTGAGACAAGATTCATGGTAGTTCAACGTCTTTATTTCTGTGTAATAAGGCTTTCTTTTGACCTGCCCCCAAGTAATATCCTAGAAGGAGAAATTTCACCATCCTTATTCTAAACTTCATCTCATCAATAACTTGTGTTATACAGATGAACAACCTTGTTTGCTGAAAGTGAGGAGGACTTGAAGCACTTGTTACAGAAGATCTAAGAACACAGCCTTCAGTATGCACTGCATCTCAACAGCAAGAAAACAAAGATTCTTCCCACTGGACTGATAGGCAACATCAGACCAGCTGGAGAAGACTGATGTAGTCAGTGCTTTCATCTTACTTGGATCCATAATCAACATCCTTGGTACTAGCAGTCAGGAAATCAGGAGACACATTGCATTGGGAAGTCTGTAGTCAGAGCCCTCTCCAATTTATTGAAGATCAGTGATGTCAGTTTGAGAACTAAGGTGCATCTGATCCAGGCCATGGTCTTTCTAACCACTTGCTGTGCATCAGAGAGCTGGACAATGAATAAAGATGACAGAAGAAGAATTGGTGCTTTTGAACTATGGTGTTGGAGAAGAGCACTGAACATTCCATGGACAACCAAGAGAACAAACAAATATACCTTGGAAAAAGTGCAGCCAGAGTGTTCCTTGGAGGCCAAGATGATGAAGCTTTGCCTCACAGACTTTGGGCATGCTGTCAGGAGGGGCTATTCCTTGCAAAAGGCCATGATGCTTGCAAAGGCAGAGGGTCGGCGAAGGAGAGGAAGACCCTCAGTCAGGTGGACGGACACAGTAACTGCTGCAAAGGGCCCTAGAGTGTTAGGAGGGCACAGAGTAGGACAGGGTTCAGCTGTTGCTGAAGGTTGCTATGGGTCGTACTCAACTCCATAGCACCTAACTATAGCATTTCAAATTTAACTATTTTCTGTTGAGTCTTTGTTATAAGCATTGTAAAGACTTTTAATGATTTTGTTGTTGTTATATACCATTGAGTTGGAATCGACTCATAACTGACCCTCAGGTGGGGTTTCACAGGCAGTAAATTGCAGTGGGGGTTGCCTATCTCTCCCTTGGGGAGCAGCTGGTGGACTTGAACCATGTGCCTTTGGTTTGGCAGTGTAGTTTCATACCATTGGGCCACCAGAGGTTCTTCATTAACATCACGTTACAGGGTGGTATTTTGTAGCACCCTCTGCTACTTGGATAATTACCTTAAGAGAAGGCTTCCCCTTTGAAGTTCAAAGTCTTTTGTCTAACACATTTTGTCTTCCAACCCCAAAGTAATTTTATTGGAATCCTAAGGTTGAGGCCTAAAAGGAAAGGGCTTTTTCAAATGTGTCATTCTGAAATGAACCAATTACCTATCTGTCTTCTGACTGAAAGCTGCCACTGAAAATGGCTGTGTCTCGTGTCACAGTCAGACAGATGACAGCCAGACTTGCAGCTGCCTTGTTCTCCTAGGACTTTGAAGGCCCTTCAGTCCATAGCATCGCTCTCTCTCTCTCTCTCTTGCTTGTTTCACTGAAAACCCTTGCCTTGTCCTCCTCAGATGGGTTTCTGCCTGACACGGGTCCTGACCAGCACTTGACCACTGTCATCTGACCTTTGGTATCTGAAATCTGTGTTTCATGACTGAGGGGTCTTTGCAGGTACCGGTCAAATGGTTTTCTTCCAGTTTCCACCTGGAGGAAGTGAGGCTAATCCCAAACAGGAAATGAGGCAGCGGGCTCACTTTCTTTGCCCGACACCCTCTGGGGATTTAAGATGAGGCGACCCTTGGAGATTGATGGAGACGTGCAGTCAGATGCGTCTGCGTTTGTCACCAGGCTTGTGTGGCTCTTCACGGTTTGGAGCCTTAAGTTCTAATTTCAGGACGTCTGAAGATCGGCTGGCCGTGGCCCTGCTGTGTGGACGCTGGGACATGGGTCCCGTCAGTGTTAATGCAGCCTGTGTTTCTGTCTCCGGCTAGAACTGCATGGTGATGGCAGAGCAGAGCCAGGTCTGGATCGGCTCCGAAGACTCGGTCATTTACATCATCAACGTCCACAGCATGTCTTGCAACAAGCAGCTCACTGACCACCGTGCCAGTGTCGTGGAGTTACTCGTGCCCGAGGGAGAGAAGGTGCCCAGGTGAGGCGTCTGCTCTTAGCCCCCGGCCTCCAGCCAGCATGGGAGCCCTGCGGGCCAGCAGAGGTCAGAGCCCACGGCCTGCGTCTGTGTGGAGGGACCCACTGCTGTCGTGCTAGGCCTGCTTCAGGGCGTGTGTGCTGATGCGTGGGCCCAGTCTCCTCTGGGGGACGTCCCGGGGATACTGAGGGCTTGTCCCTCCAGGGGGAGTGGTTGGTTAGTACATTCTCACCTTTCTGAAGTTACAAGTCTGGATTTGAGGGAGATCTGATTTTTCACATTGAATAATTTTATTTTTTTTTAATGCAGTTGTACCCCTCCTAAGCCCCTAGTTTTTTTTAAATCTCGTCAATTCAGTATACAGGGAACCTTTCTTCCCTCGTATCAGGCACTCCATTGGCTTAGACATTTCTAGTGACTTTTAAACCCATTGTATTGGACACACCGTGGAAGGTTCTGAGTGGAGCACTGCCTGACTTCCTGTCCCCCCTAGGGCACACTGCATGACTTCCTGTCCCACCCAGGGCACACTGCCTGACTTTCTGTCCCACCCGATGGGCACTGCCACCTGCCTGTCCCCCCTAGGGCACACTGCATGACTTCCTGTCCCACCCAGGGCACACTGCCTGACTTCCTGTCCCACCCAGGGCACATTGCCTGACTTCCTTCCTGTCCCACCCAGGGGACACTGCCGCCTGCCTGTCCCACCCAGGGCACACTGCCTGACTTCCTGTCCAACCAGGGCACATTTCTTGACTTCCTGTCCCACCCAGTGGGCACTGCCACCTGCCTGTTTCAGTCATTGATGAGGCGAATGAGCTCTGGAATCCCCCAGATGCAAGAATACGCTCAGACATCATTGAGTTGTGTCGGTGTGGAGCTCCGCCCACAGGATTTTCAGTGGCTGCTTTTTCAGACATGGGTTGCCAGGCTTTTCTTCCGAGGCACTGCTGGTATACTTGATCCACCACGCTTTGGGTTTCCATCTGAGCACGTTACTGTGTGTTCATCTCAAAGGGTGGATCAGCCCTTCAGTGGGCTGTGCCGGTGCTCCTCATGTCCCTCCTCCCACTCTCCAGCCTGGGGTGTGATCAGCAGAGAAAACCAAGACCATCAGCCTGTCATCATGCCTGTATGTCCCCAGGGCTGTCCCTCTGTCTGTGTCCCTGACTCACAGTGACCTGCAGGGCAGAGTAGAATTGCCCACAGGGTTTCTGAGACCCCGTCTTTATGAGAGCGGGATGGCCTCGTCATTCTTTCATGGGACGGCAGCTGGATTTGAACTGCTGGGCTTTTGGTTAGCAGCTGAATGCTTTATCACAGTGCCACCTGAGTTCTTAACTCACGGAAGGAAGGGAGGGTGAGAACGCCTGTACAGGCTGGAGAAGGTCAGCTCTGTCCTTGAGCTGCGCAAGCTGATGAATTGCCCTGTTTATTCTTAACAAAGAAAAGAAATAATATTTTTACAGTGTCAGCTCTCCGAGCTGTGTGGACGCCCCACTGAGAACTGGGCCTGGTGCACTTGGGCTGGGCAGCAGGAGGCGCCGCCCACCAAGGAAGGGCAGGACCCCTGGGACCCAATGGCTGGTATCCAACGCTGGCCACTCCATACTCGGCCCCCTCCTATCCAGGCACCGGCTGGCAGGTGGAATGTGCCCAGACCTGCTCGGCTGGGATGGGAGACCTGAAACCAGATAGGCAGGGAGTGGGGTGGGAGTGGCCCCTGGTCCTCGGTGCCCTGTCCTCTGGGAGTGCTGACCGTTAAATTGAGCAACTGTCTGCTGCTGGGTGAGTCAGTGGTCTAATAACGACATTAGAGTTTACACAGAAGTCCCCTTACAGTGTAGTCCCCTTACAGTGACAGGAGGCCACGTCCCTGGACAGCCCTGTTGTCTAGGGCTGCACTGGCTCTGCGCTCAGTCGGTAACTCAAAGGTCACAGGTTCAAACCTACAGAGGCACCTTGGCGGAAGGGCTTGCTGAGCCGCTTCTGGGGAGGCGTCCACTAACCCTGGGGGGACAGCGAAGGTGAGAAACTAAAGAAGTGGCAGCCGAGGAAGGGCAGGAGTGTCCTCTCAGTGACGCCACCTGCAGATGGTTCAGCTGACACTTCAACCCCAAGCACTTCCAGTCTTAGAATCTCATCTCTGCCACAGTGAGCTTTGTCAAAGTGGTAGATACGTGGAGCAGGGATCAGATGTCATTTTTGGTGAATTGTAAGTACTGGTAGATTGCATCAGGTACCAAATGTTGCCACATGCCGTGGGTTTTCCTGGCATGGCTGGCTCTGCACGCGTGAGTGGGTCTCTTGTTGCTGGGCCCGTCTGACGGTGACTCTCCTCTCTCCCCATGACCGCGCTGCCCGGGCACTCATGCCCAGCGAGGTGTACTCCTGCAGCCGGGACGGGACGGTGCTGGCGTGGAGCGTGAGCACGCTGAGGGTCACCAGCAGGTTCCAGCTGCCCGGCCGCTCGCTGACCTCCGCCCGACTCCACCAGGGCCGCCTGTGGTGCTGTAAGTCCTTGGCCTCCGGGCCTCTAGGGAAGGAGATCTGGTGACAGGCCCCTGGGACAGAAGTGGCTTCCTAAACAGGGGTGATGTTTTATTTAGTAATGGGGTGATTGTCTCCCTGTTGGCACTGGGAGGCTGAACACTGGCACAGGCAGGGCAGGGGCAGCCAAAATCTGTGTGTTTAGAGAAGGTCCTTATAATGCCATCATCCAAGACAGACCCTTCCCCAGAGTCCAGGCTGCTGCCAGGCGTGCCCGCGGCTCCCTGGGGTGCGGTCCATGCACCGTGGGATTGGAGCTGGCAGCCCTCTGCCCAGGTTTTACTCACATCCAGTGTCTCTTTCAATCTCAGTCCTCTCTTGTGTCTTACAGCTCTTTGTCCCTGAGTGTACATGTCCAGCCTCCATTACCACCACCAGCTCCTGGGGTCCTCCTCGACTCCGCCTGGCGGTGCTGGAGCATTTTTCCCAGGGGTGGACCTGGTTCTGGTGTCCCCAAGCCAACTCTGCCCCTGGGCCTTGTTCGCTCATGTCGATAGGTGGACAGGACATGTCCTCTCTGCTCTGCACACACAGGGGGTGGTGAGAGTCTGTGGACTCAGCGGGAATCTGCCCGAGCACCCTGGAGACTTGATGGCCTGCGTGGCCCCGGGCTGTGTCTCTGACCACCGTTGAGCACAGATGTGGTCTACAGCCAGCCGTTGGCCTGGTGTCCATGGTGAGATGGGCTGTGGTTAGAAGTGTCTTTTCCTGTGGAAACGAGTCTTATACAGGCAGGTCTCATTTTATTGTGATCAGAGATTTTGCTTTATTAACAAATTGAGGGTTTGCAGAAATCCATGTGCAGCAAGTCTGTGGTGCCCTCTCCACCCGAGCTGTGCTCCATGTCACACTGCGGTCATTCTCAGCATGGGCCGTGCGTCCGTAATGCTGTTGCACATTACAGACCAGGGTCAGCGTGACGTTTATACAGCCAGGAAACCTGAACATGTGTGACGCACTCTCTCTGGCATCCACTTTTTGTTGTCCTCTTGTTGTGGTGGACCGTCTAGTCAAAACCGGCTCACAGCTGACCCCCCAACAGGTTTTCAGAGGCTGTAAATCACACAAGGGGAGATTGCCCACCTTCTCCGGGGAATCTGTTAGCAGATTCGAACTGTGTGCATCGGCCACCAGCACTGCATTTAGGGCAGTGGTCTGGATTTGAACCTGCAATAACTCCCAGGTGCCCGTGTGCAATAAAACACAAGTGTACAGATTCTTGTGTTTGACACAGGATTGGCTTCTATTCCAAGTGTCCTCAGACTTTGAAGCCAGAAATGGTTGTTGAACTTAGTCAGGTGCTTTTTGCCGCTTCTGTAGCTCAGGTTGCTCTGGTGCTGATGACCCAAAGGTGGTGCCTGTCTGGGGCCCAAATCCATCAGCGCGTCCTCAGGAGGAAGATGGGCAGTCTCCTCCGATGCCAGATGCGACCTCAGAAACCCCAGGGAAGGCCAGCTCTGAGTCGGCCCTTGAAGGTGGTGAGTCAGGGCTGTTGGAGCCGCTGCTGTCCTAAAGGTCAAAGGCCTGACCCAGCCACTCACAGGAGGAATGACCCCTGACCCTGAGAGGCTCTCCTATAAAGACTGTGGCCTGGACACGCTGGGGGGCAGGCCCACCCACCCACCCTGGGCTACAGACTTGATGGCAGTGAACTGCTGTGAAAGAAACCATAGTAACCTGGGCAGGCAGAGGCTGACTCCAACCAGCTTCACAAAGGGGCCTGTCTGGTCATTAACACGTACAGCACCGAACAAAGAGCTACACGATCAGATGTGGCCCCTGCACCTGCGCCTGATTCTAATCCAGTGTTCACTGTTATCATTGTAAATGCACTCACCGGCTTCTAGTCCAGTGTTCATTACAGATGGACTCACAGATTGACTATAGTCACAGTAGTGGGGTCATTAGGGAACATTAGGTTAGGGAGTAGGGGAGACAAAGGCTATTACATGGAAAAAAATCTAGGCTTAGTGCCTAGCAGCCCCAAACCATGTCAACAGCATGACAAATTCCTGTTAGTTCAGACAGCAACACAGTCAACAAGTGAAACTCCAGGTTCAGTCCAGCGACACAAATAAAAGAAGTCCCTGGTTGCCTCCGTCGTCCACAGGCTTTGTCTCAGTCAGCAGTCACAAGTCAGCTCTTCCTTCATCGTCCAGCAAGCAGAACCTTTCACGCTGGCTCCGTCTCCAGGGCTTCATCAGGCTCTACCTTGCTATAGTCTGGCCACTTCTCTCTCATGGTGGCCACACAGCTGTTGATGTGGGAGACCCTGACCACTGGTGAACCGTGTGTCTACTGTTGAGGCAGCTGGAGTCTACGCCCCAAAGGGGCCCAAGGCAATGGTTAGAAAAGCCATTTTCTTTTCTTTTTTAAAAAATAAAATTTTATTTGAACTGTTATTTTTTTTTTAAACAAAAATTTTTCTTTTTCTTGCTGTGTACCGTCGAATCAGATCCGACTGGCACAGGAGGAGATTGCCCCTCTTTTTCCAGCAGAGCATCTGGTGGATTCAAACCCTGTGCCTTCAGGATTGCAGTGCAGTTTCTTGTCACTAGGCCTCAAGGGCTCCTGTTAATTGTGATTTTAATGAACATTTACAGAAAAGTTAGATTTTCCATTCATTCGTTGTTGCACATTTTACCCCCCTCCCTCCCTTTTCCCTTCCTTCTTCTCCTTCCCCCAGTGAACATTTTTAAAAATATTCATTGTTCCACTGTGACCTCCTGTCCCCCGCCCCAGTCCTCTTTGCAGTGATATATCTTGTTGTAACACCACATTGCCATTAGTTGTTCGAGGTCAGTGTCAATCATGGTGACTCTGTAAGTGCAGCATGCTTTGAAGGTTTACAAAGCAAGTACTGGAAGCCATTCGTACATACAGTTTTATAACATGACCTACAATTCCACTCTTTTCCCACTTCTTCCCTGTGATTCCCATTTCCACCAGTCCTCCTGTTCCACGCCTTCCTGTCTGGAGGCCTCAATCCCAGGCCAGATGCTGCTCTTCTGAACTCACATAGTTGGTCATTCCACAGAGTGAGTGTCTCCCTGATGTTACCAGTCCTCTTACTGTTTAGTCTTTTTCTGTTTTACTAAAGCTTTATCAGTTTTACTAAATGTTTTCAAAGAAACATTGTTTGTCTGGGGTGTTTACCCATGCTGGCTTTTGTGTCCCCGATTTCTGATTTTCTTTATCGTCCCATCCTCTCTTGTCTTTGGATTTTGTTTGTTTCTCTCTTTGTAGTCTATTCAGTTGCAAGTGTAGATTATTTTAAAGTTTCTCTTTTCTAATTTATCACTGTAGCTGCACCCCACAATTTTTTATTTACTTTTGTTTCCATTGCCATGTCGCTTGGAGTAAGTTCTAATTTGGCTCGTGAATTCACCTCTGACTCACTGTGATTTGGAAGTCTGTTCCTTGATTCCGTTATGGAGCCTTCTTCAACTGCCTCTTTGTTTTTGACTTTTGTTTCAGTTCCTTTGTCTCCACAGAAAACATTATGATCTTGATCCTTTCAGCTTTACAGATCCGCCTCTGATGGTGTATCTTGGGAGGATTCCATGTGATTTAACAAGAATGTCTTTTCCCTAGTTGCTGGGTCAGCATTCTAGACATGCGATTAGATAAAGGTGGTTAGCTGAGTTACTCTGTTTATTACTTTATGACTGGCTTTATTGTCTGCTTATTCTGTGGATGACGGAGGAATGAGTGTTAAAATCTCCTGCTTTAAGAGTGGATTTCCCCTTCTCCCTTTAGCCTCGGCAATCTCTGTCAACAGCACTTTGAAGACTGTGATGTCCTTTGTCATGAAATAGCTCTCTCTATAGTGAAGCTTCCTTTGCTGGTGCTGCTGCTAAAATAATCACACCAGCACGTCTTTGCACAAAGATCCTTCCCAAGATTTTGTTTGAAGACCATCCTGTCTTTATAGTGACCATGACTCTTCCTGGCTGCTCCATGCCGGGAGTGATCACAGGTCAGTTCCTTGATGGGGACGGCCTGGTGAGGATGCCATTGTACCCCTGTAGCTGTAGACTTTGGACTACGGCTTACACCAGAGGATTTTATCAGTGTGAGATGTCTTGGTTCAGATAAGAGGATTGTGGTTGTAAGAAATACCCTGGATAGCCCTGGTGCAGAATCATGACCAACCATGTAGGTTCAGCATGCATGTTGATAAATACTTTCACTGATTACCATTTTATATTTGTGAGAAGAGTTTATGTGTCATTTACTTTTACTGTAAAAATAGTCAACTAATAACATGCAATAAATATTTCCTGAGAAAGAAAAAAAAAAAAAAGAAATACCCTGGATAGGAGATACACTAAGACTTGAGTGGAAAATGGGCAGAACGTCTGCGATTTACTCTGAAAAGATTCAGAAGAAAAAAAAAATCAGACCGACCATGAACAAATGATAAAGCAAGGGTCAAAATGTTCTTGAAACCTTCCTGGCAAGTTAGAAATTAAAAAAAAAGTTACTTAAAATATTAGTGTAAGTTAGCAATCTATCAAAATTAAAAAAAAAGGTTACTTAAAATATTAGTGTTCCCTTTGTAAACACCTAAAGTTGGAACTTGGTTGTGGAAGGGGGAAGAAATCCAGTCTTCACAATCTTTTAATTGGGGAATTCATCTATTTGTTTATTGCATAGTTGTTTTGGAATAGAGTTCATACACCAAAGTGTTCGCTCATTAAAGGTACACAGTGCAGGGCTTTACGTGTGTCAGGGTTGTAGCCTTTCTCCACGTCTGTTCAGTTTGTATGCTGGACAAATAATTTGAGAAGCTGGACCATATGAAGTGACATCCGGGGTGGAGGAAGACTCAGCAGCCTGGTAGGTGGATGACACCACCTTGCTTGGCATTTGTTGCAGAAGATAAAACACTTCAATAGGGATCACATCTCAACATCAAGAAGACAAAATGCGCACCACTGGGCCAATAGGCAGCGTCATGAAGATTAAGGAAAAAAATGAGATTGTCCAAGGTTTCTTCTTACACTCCGCAGTCAACACCCAGGGGTGGCAGTGGCCACGGGTGGCACAGGGCAGGACAAGGTTTCTGTGCGTCGCTCGTGGGGTCACGGGAGTTGTAATCAACTCGCTGGTTGCTGGCCACCACCTCCATCACTGCGCTGTGCTTGGGGATGTTTTTATTATCACCCGTTAGCACTGGCCCTTCATCTTAGGGACTTTAAGCTTTGCTTGTTCTGTAAAATGAAGCTGCACCACACGGCCCTCTGTGCCTGACCTCTCATGTATTACATCTTCAAGGCGGCCAGTGTAAAGCTGTACTTCATCCCTTCCCTTCTCGCCTTATACCCAGGAGCTCGGGGGGTGTAGTGTGTAACAGGACCTGGCTGCTAATCAAAAGGTCAGCAGATCAAACCCACCAGCTGCAGCTGGAGAATGACAGGCAGTTTCCTCCTATAAAGATTTGCAACCCCAGAAACACGGTGGGCAGAAACACTGGACAGCAGCGGAACACCATTGCGCTGTGTGACTGGCCATCTTTTGTCCACTTACCTGCCCGTGGACATTGAGGGGTGGTCTCACCTTTTGGTTACTGTGCATAGTGCGGCTAAAAGTATGTTTGTATGACTCCTTTTCTCCCTCAAGTCACAGCACCCTGGCTGCGCAGTGGTTAGTGCCTCGTGGGAGAAAGACTGGGCAGCGTGCTTCCGTAACCTGACGGGCAGTTCCCCGTCCTGCAGGGGCACGGGGAGTCAGGATTGATTTGATGCAAGTAGGTTATGTTACTGAAGGAGCCCTGGTGGCATAGTGGTTAAAAACTTAGATGATAACACAGAGGTTGGAGGTTCGAACTCAGCAGCAGCTTTACAGGAGACAGAGAAGGCAGGCTGCTTTCGTAAAGCTCACAGGCCTGGGGTCCTGGGAGTGTCCTGCTCTGCCCTGCAGGGTCCTGGGGGTTGGTGAGCTTGCTGTGGTCCTCTCTGGAGTCGTGGTGCTGTCCCTGAGGACTGTGTGACTCTGTCAGGGGCATCTTTGATGAGCAGACTGATGGGGAGTGACACAGAGGAGAGGCAAAGAGCCACCGCTGGCACCAGCGCCAGTTCTGGGAAGGTGGAGTGCGTTCTGCTGAACCCCCTCAGCATCCTCTCTGAGATGTTGATTGTGATGGCTCGTAGCTCTTGACGAGGGTGATGCAGGAGAGGACGGGGCAGATCCGCTGCTGTGAGTCACACTCGACCTAACAACAGCTGTTACCATTTTTTTTTAAATCACTTTTGTAGAACGGGAGCAAATGCAATTATTATTATTAATTTTGTACCGTCAGATCATATCTGACTGGTCACAGGAGGAAACAGGCCCTCCTTCTCCAGCAGACCATCTGGTGGATTCGAACTGTGTACCTCTGAGATTGCTGTGCAGCTTCTTGCCACTAGGCCACCAGAGCTCCCTCAAATACAATGTTTTCTAGTCAGTTGGCCAGGTAGCTGTGTTCCCAGCGTCGCAGTGAGTACGTCTGGGGAAATATCTGTTCATTGAAACATGTCAAGAACCGTTCTTTCTTTCGATTCCTGGGTGATTTTCATAATGCCTTCAGTGCAGCGCGAACGTCTTACTTCATTACCATTGGTTCTTTTTTTACAAAAGAGGATATCCAAGTGACCAACAAACACTTGGGAACACATTGTTGTTACTGTTGCCAGATTCATTAGTTACCTAGGAAATGCTAATTCAGAACACAATGCAGTACCCCTATGCACACACCGCAAAGGCTGCAGTACAATATTTTATTTTTTAATAGAATTTGTTGTTGTTGTTTTCCCTTTACCCACCCCTCCCTCCACCCTTCAAATTGTGTGATCCTATGATTAAACCCCTGCCCGTCCTCACCTCTCTGTTCCTACCCTCCCCCTCTTGTATCTTCATAGACATTTTACTATTTTTTCATTTCTACAGTAATGGTCTCATACAGTACTTGTCCTTATGGGACGGAGTTAGTTCACTCAGCATAATGCTCTCTAGTCCCTCCCAAGTTATGTAGTAATTTTAGAAATCATTGCTCCTGAGTGCTGCATAGTCTTTCATCGTGTGAATGTACCACAGTTTCTTAATCCATTCTATTATGATTGGACATTTGGGCTGTTTCCATTTTCTTGTAATAGTGAATAACGCTTCTATGAACAGGGGTGTACCAATCTCCATTTGTGTCTCAGTTCTAATTTTCTTGAGGTATATTGCAAAGGATTCTGAAGCTTTGTCTGACATACTTTGGGCATGTTGCAAGGAGGGACTGGTCCTTGGAGAGGGACATCATGTTTGGGAGGGTGGATGGGTGGCGCAGGAGAGGAAGACCTTTGATAAGATGGATTGATTCTGTGACTGGAGTGGTGGGAATGAGTGCGTTTGAAATGGCTAGGTTGGCACAGGATAGAACGGCGTTTAGAGCTCTTGTACATAGGGTCACTATGAGTTGTAAGCGACTCAGTGGCACAAAACAACAACAACATATCGCAAACAGTGGAATAGCTGGGTCATATGGTGTTTCTATGTTCACTTTTTCGAGGAAACGCCAAACTGTTTTTCAGAGTGGTTGTACAATTTTAAAATCCCACTAACAGTGAATAAGAGATCCTATTTCCACATTCTCTCCAATATTTATTGCTTGCTGTCCTGTTAAACTTTGCCACTGCTACTGGAGTGATATGGTATCTCATTGTAGTTTTGACTTGCATCTCTCTTATTGACAGTGATTTTGAACATTTCTTCGTGTGTCTGTTGGCCGTCCACATGTCTTCCTCTGTGCAAAGTCTTTCCGTGTCTTTTGCCCATTTTGTAATTGCGTTAGTCTTTTTCTTGTGGAGGCCCAGGAGTATTCTGTAAACTTTTGTTATGAGATCCTTGGCTGAGATGAGATTGCCGAATGTTTGTTCCCCAGGTGGTTTTTACCCTGTTGGATAAAGTTTTTGATGTGCACAGGGATTTAGCCTTTACAGGTTGTATTCATCAGTTTTATCCTCTCCTGGTTGTGTAGCCGTTGGGTTTTTGATCATGTGGTACTTCCTGAAATGGTTCCATGCTGACCAACGCTTTTTGGTATAGTGACTGTGTATTTCTTCTATCTTGCTTTGATGCTTCCTGCTTCATTCAAGAATTAGCCCATTGAATCCTTCAGTCTTGCAACTCGAGGCTTGAATTTGTTCTCTTCTCTCAGCTTGAGAAATGCCGAGCATGTTCCTCCCTTTGACCTTTGGTTTAATTCTTTGCTTTGTCTCTGGAGCTGCCCTTTGGGAGCTCCCACCCAGCTCTCCCCCCTTCGCTGTGCCTGATCCTCGTCCTGTGCCCCTCAGGCACGGGCAGCAGCATCGTGGTGGTGACAACCAACGGCTTTCTGCGTCAGGAGCTGAGAATTGACAGCTTTCACAAGGTGGACACCTCGTTCCTGGGCTTCCAGCTGATCCCTGAGGTGCTGTGGGCTGGCGGCACGGCGGGGGGCACTGTGGAAGGTGCAAGGGAATGCAGTGTGGGGGGACACCATGATGGGGTGCAGCAGTGGGCACAGTGGGGGTGCAGGGAGGTGGGGTGTCACATGTATACAGTGTGGGGGACACCATGATGGGGTGCAGCATCGTCTGTGCTTACAGCAGGAGCAGCTCTGGGCTGCCTGTGTGGGGTATAGTGAAGTCTACATCTGGACCCTGCAGGACCTCTCCCAGCCCCCACACAAGGTCGCCCTGCAGGACTGTGCTGAGGTCAGCTGTATGCTCAAGGTCAAAAGACAGGTGAGCTCTTGCCCCCCCCAAAGTGCCTGCCTGGTTCCCCTGTCTCCTGAGTGGGAACGGGCAGCGTGAGCCCCTCATGGGGCAGCAGCCCCGGCCATGGCTGAGGCCCCATCTCTCCCCGGCAGATCTGGGTGGGCGGCCGGGGGCTGTCGCAGGGACAGCCGAAGGGGAAGATCTACGTGATGGACACTGACAGGAAGACTGTGGACAAGGAGCTGGTGGCTCACACAGACACGGTGATGACGCTGTGCTCGGCCGAGGACCGCTATGTGCTGAGTGGCTCTGGCCGGGAAGAGGGCAAGATTGCTATTTGGACTGTGGAGTGAGCGGGCAGCGGCTGCAGGTGGGTGCATTTACGGTGGGGTTCCACTTGACTGGAGGGGCCGGGCTGGGATCCCACCTTGTGGGCCCCTAGAACCACCAACACGCTTTCTCCTGGACTCTCCAGCTCCCAGATTCAGTTGTTCTGAGAATGTTTGGAGTCAGGGTGCTTCTCAGCCAGCAGGTGGTCTCATCTAGAAAGTTCTAGAATCCATGGCCAGGGCGAGAACCAGAGCCAGAACAGATGGTGCCTGACCCCATGATGACCTGCACCCTCCTTCCTCCTCTCCTTCTGCAAGCAGAGACTCAGCCCTGGGTGTCTGCCAGGTCCGGGTACACATATGGGGGACCCCAGGGCCCCACAACCTCACTTGGACTTCTGAGAAGTGGGGAAGGGGTAACTCAAGAGAACTTTGGGTGGCACCTCACCCAGGCTGGTTTCTCAGGGAATGTGTGGCCATGTCTGCCCAGCAGAGGGGACAGTCCTGCCTCAGGCCATCGGCTGGGCCTGCCAGGACACAGGACTTTTTCTTTGATTTTAATAACACATTTTTATCATGAAGAAACCTGGAGATCACAAAGCTGCCTTCAGAAGGCAGGCCTTGAACACACCTGGTGACACAGGTCACTAGTGCCGCTGCCTCCACGGAAGAGCCACCACCGCACCCTCAAGACCCCAAGTGTGCACAGATGCCGCACGGTTTAGACTAAGGAAGGGCGCGCTGCCTTGATGTCTGTGTACTCACAGGAGAGGGCGCTCGCACATTTCTGTCACGGTTTTCAGACTGGTTCTGGAAATGATGGGAAAGGTGGTTTTGGTGTGCGTGCTGGATGTCGAGGGGTGCCCTGGCCAGCAGGAGGCCCAGGCTATGGATACGACACAGGTTGGCCGTGGGCTCTACACCGGGTCTTGGGCTCCTTCTCCCATGTGCGCTCTGAAGACACTCTGGGCCCCAGGAAAGCTGCCCCCTGGGCCATGTGTCCGCAGCGGCTCTAAGAGGACAGAGGGGCGCTGGCATCAGCTCCATCAGTTGGAGCTCAGCTGTCCTGGGATACTGAATCACTAACTAATGTTCCTGTAAATCCTAATCTTGGGTTGCTGCTAGCTTCTTTGAACTGGGTAGAGGCAGGCTGGCCCAGTGGAGTCTGCTACAGTCTTGGAAGGAAGTCTAGCCAGCACTGAGGAGCAAGAGGTTGAGTTTTGCTTCTGAAAAATGGAAATGAACTTGAGTGAGAGACTGTCAGAAGTACATTGTCAACTATTCAATGTCACACACACATAATGAGGTGTTTTAAGCTCATTTCTATTAAATCCTTTTATTTAATGTATGCTGCCTAACGCCTGTCATTTGTCCAATATGGACGAGTCTCCACGTTGCTCTTAACTCCAGATCCACATTCCTTGGGGCATTTCTCTTTCATTCTTGGAGGTGCTATCCAAGATGAAGGTGGAGAGTGATGGTGGGTGAGAAAACCAGGCAGGGAACCTGGGATGTCTGGGAGGTGTACATTTATAATACGCACTTAAGCTGCAAATCTTCACCACTGGACAACAGGCCAAATCATGGGAGATGAAGATTGAAGTTGTTGGTGATTTCATCGTGCTTGGATCCACAGTGCACATCCTTTGTACCAGAAGCCAGGAGGTCTGGAGACATACAGAATTGGGAAAGTCAGCTGTCAGGGATTGCTCTGAAGTCCTGAAGAGCAATGATGGTAGTCTAAAGACTAAGGTGTGCCTGATTAAGGCCATAGTCTTTGCAGTCACTTGCTGTGGAACTGAGAGCTGAAGAGTGAATAAAGATGACAGAAGAAGAGATGCATTGGAGTCGTGGTGCTGGGGAAGAGTCTGGATAGTCCACGGATGGCCAACAGAATGAACAGATGCGGCCGAGAGGAGGTGCAACCAGAATGTGCTTTGGAGGCAAAGATGGCAAGGTTCATCTTGCATAGTTTGGACACGTTGTTAGAAGAAAATCTGTGCCCTGGGCTGGCTGGTTTGTAAGCTGGGGACGCTGATGGGGACATCTGAACACAAGACACTGATCTGTTCACTGCTCGGGTGGGGGGGTCCCAGCTCCCCAGCTCAGGCTGCAGCGGGAAGGTGCTCACCGGGGCTCAGTGTGAGCTGTCTGTGTGAGCATGTATGTGCTGATCAGCACATGTGATCATCACATCTGCCACACGGGTCTGAGTCCGGGATGTCCATTCCCAGATCTGTTCCAGAAATGGACTAAGAGCTCTTGTCCTGCACCAGTGATCAGAGAAAGAACTGGAACCAAGGGGCCCATGGACACTAGGCCGCCCACCTGGTGGGATGCAGCCTCGCTCAGCTTTACTGTTCCTGTCTCTGTGTCCTACCTGTCTGTCCAGGCTCGGCTGGACAGAAGGGGCTCGGCTAGTTCACAGTGCACTAAACTGAGATTGTCATCTTCCCAGGAGTGAGGAGGGCCTTCTAGCACCCAGGTTCTCTGCTCCCAAGAACTGCCCTCAGTGCCCCAAACACCTAGGGACGGTGGCCAAGGCTCATGGAAGGAAGGACAGGGGGCAGAGAAGCTCAGGCAGCCATTGTAGTGGTGATAACTGCTGCTGTTAGCTGGGCTCCAGTGTCCGGTGCACAGGCCAGCTCCACCACACTCAGGGAGGCCAGGGGAGTCCTCTGGGCCCCAGGGCTCAGGCAGGTCTCCTTCCCTACTACCCAGAGTCCAGTCCAGAAGCAGCCCCTTCCAGGAGTGACTGACAGACATGGCTGGCTCCTTCCAGCAGCCCGCCTCTGGGGACACTCACCCTCCACCCCATAAAAGCAGACACTCATGCAGTGTCCATGTCCAGCACATAGGCACACAGTGCCTTTTCCGAAGCTGGCAGTTTCTGTCATCAGAGGGAATGGGCGAAGGCACAGGTGGACAGGCCTGTGTCCCTGGAGAAGAGGCCCTGCCCCTGCAGTCCCTAGCATGGCTCCCCTCAAGGTGCTACTGGCTTAGGCCATGGGGACTTGTCTGAAGCCATGGGCCTGAGAGCTGAGGCCCCAGCCTAGCACTTGCCTGAAGCGTGGCATTATGCACGTGTGCACACACGCACCCACCCCTCACACACCACCTCCCATCAGAGCCCCAGCCTTCATGTCCTCAGGACTCCACGCCTGGCTGGCTTTAGTCGAGACACCAGGTTCCACCCACCTCCTTTGTTCTCATGGAAGTCTCCTTTCGGTGTGTAGTGGGGGGCTTCACGGGGCGGGGGAAGGTCAGCTAACACTCACAATGATTGGGGGCCTGGCTGTTGTCTGGACAGCTACAGTGGCTGGGGAGGCAGCTCTGAGACCCTAAAGCCAGTGGAGGGCCGCCTGTCCCCATGGGAGAACCCAGGCTGTCCCAGTGCCACCCACACGTCAGCACATCAGTTCACTGAGTCCAGCGTTCTTCACCTCGCAGCCCCCACACGAGGCACCCCCGACCTCCCAAGCTACCTGGACACAAGCAGACCCTCCTACAGCCACAGCCTAGCCCAGCACATCAGAAAAGGTCTTTTAAGACAGTCAGAGAGTTCAAGTAGTTTATTTAAAAAGTTTCATTTCATCTTGAAATATATATGTGTGTGTGTATATATATATATATATATTTGCTTTAGAATGATATTGCAGCATGATTCACATGCACTTTAAAGTATTTTCTTTAAAAAACATCAACTTGAGGCAGCAAAAGTATGACGAGGGTCTTGAGTGACTCACTGTCCAGTGCCGGTGGCCTCTCGCGCTCCTGGCCCAGGCCCAGCGGAGTGTCCACTGCTGAGTCGGAGACGTGTGGGATGCAGACAGTTCCTGACAGCAGCAGAGGCCACGGGGTCCTGCCAGGTCCAGGTCTGACAGCGCAAGACCAGGTGTTCCAGTGGCTCTGATTCTAGCAACGGGCAGCATGGCTGGCAGGAGCATCCGGGAGGGCCGTGTCCCTGGTGCCCAGTGGCTGCCCTCACCCCGAGGTAGGCCTTTGTGGCGTAACATTCAAGGGCAGTGCTGTGACAGGGACTCTGCTCCCGAGACTCCCCCACAATCGGTTTAAAGACGGATGAAAGTGCAATTGAAGAGCTGACATCTTCCTCCTCCGGGCAGGATGGGTCCCGCTCTGGGAAACACGTTGGGGGCTGGCCGCCGTGAAGAGGACACCACGAGCGGCAGCGAGGCAGACATGCACACGCTCACACACGCACGTCCATGCTCTCACACACACACACACACGTGCTCGCAGGCACATGGCAAAGCTGCTGTGGACCATGCCGCTCCCCACCACCACCACTTCTCCCCAGGTCCATAGGGGTCAGTGTCCCCCAACTTTGGTGTGGTTGACAGCCACTACTGTCTAGGAAAAGACAGCCGAGTGAAGGACTCAAAAGTATCGTGGGGAGGAGAGAGGCTGTCTTTTAAGAAAAACAGTTCTGAAAAAGAATTTCTTCCCAAGAAGAGTCACAAAAGACACTTCTTAACAGTTACAGCACCAGCAGAAGGGGGACAGCTGACTGTGCCTCAGTGCCCACTGGGCTCCCCACAACCCAGAGAAGGGCCTTGGCCCCAGCAGCTCACCCATCCGAGGTGGCTGAGCCAAGCCAGCGGGGGTGGGGTGGGGTGGGCAGATGTCTACACCCCCAGCTGCTGTCTGGGCAATGCACAACCTTTCTTCCTAAACTGCTTACTGCCTACACAGAATATGTGGTTTGTCATGGAAAACATGCAGAATAACATACCTGCAGAATGAGACGAGAGCTAAAATTACCAGGTCTTTTTCAATTTAAAAAAAAAACATTAAAAATTATTTTTTTAATTGTGGAAAAAAGTAATTTGTGGGGTGTTTTTTTGCCTCGTGGCTGAACCCACCCTACAGCTCAGTGCCTCCACTTGCCAAGTTGGCTCTGCGGGCCCAGAGTGACCGTGTGGCCGCCCCCTGGAATGTGTGTCACGGGCGTGCTCAGACCATAGACTCCGTCTCCACGGGGCCTGGACTGTCCTCCTTCCGCGAGAGTTTAAGGACAGTGGGCTTCCCGTGGCTCTCGCTGGCCGGCTGGGTGGACAGGCCCTTCTGTTCCTCCTTGGCGTCTTCAGACACATCAGGGTAGATGACTAGGAACGTGGCTGTCAGGAAGCCCAGGAAGGAGCCCACAGAAGCCACCATGGGGATGACGCGGACAGTGCCCACGGCGTCCACCACGCCGCCCAGGGCCGAGGCCACCAGGATCTGGGAGATGTAGACCTGGCAGGAGAGGATGGCGCAGTCTATGCCGAAACCTCGCTTGGAGTTGCCGGGGCTGTGGTGGACGTACTGCAAGAGACGACGACGACTGTGTGAGAGGGCCAGGCCCAGAAACCTGCTTCCCAGTGACCACTGCTGCCTGCTTTCCTCCTCAACCTGCCCAGCACTGAGTGGACAGCGGGTGAGAAGTTCTGGATCACCAGAGAGGCTCAGAGTGGAAGTGACTTCTCTGACCCACCAGGACCCAGTTCCCGGGGGCTCTGGGGTGACCAGGCTGGTGGGAGGGGCCGTGTGAGAGCCCCTTACCACCCTCCTCAGCACGGACCCTCCCTTTTCAAACAGTGCAGCTTTCCTTCCCCTTTGGAAGAAGGATCAGGAAAGAAAACTGGTGCAGCTGTCTCTGCTCCTGTTAGACTGAGGGAGCCAAGTCTCCCTTAAAACTGTTATTATTCTAGAGATACTGAGAAAGTGTCACCAAGAAGGAGAAAACCAGAGGGGAACTCTACATTGGAGATGCGAGGGTCATCGCTGACAGGCTGGGGGGAGCCTGCTGGATCTTGTGGGCCTGGCCCTGCACCCCCTCTGCTCCCCACCTACCTGTCCTCTGGGGCTGCCTCAGCCTTGCCCTGGCAATGCCCCCATCCCTCCACTTCAGTTTCCTGGTTCTGGCTTGTCCATTTCCGCACCTGACCTCTCAGTACTGGCCCGCCCCATCCCCCTAGCTCCACCTCCTTTGGTCCTGGGCTTCTCCCTCAAGCCTCTGGTCCTAACCCCAGCACCCCACCACCTTTGATCTTGTGGTGGTACCGGTGCCAACCACCTGCTCGATCTCAGGGTGCTGGCCGCCCATCTGATACATCTCACGTGCCAGCCCCGCACACCGCTGGATCTGGACATGCAAGCCCCGCCCACTAGTCTGAGCATGTGGCATTGGCCCCGCCCACTGGTTCGAGCTCCTGGTACTGGCCCCGCCCACCTGCTTGACCACAGGGTCCCAGCGCAGGTGCACCCCACCCACCTGCTTGATCTCATGGCACTGGCCCCGCCCACTGGTTCGATCTCCTGGGCCCATCCACGTGCTGTGCTCCTCATACTGGCCCCGCCCAATGGCTGGATCACGTGGCACTGCCCCGCCCCCCGGCTTGAGTGCACCACCTGCTTGATCACCCACCTGCTTGATCCCCTGTACTGACAGGCCCCGCCCACCTGCGGGAGCTCCTGATGTTGGCCCCGCCCACTGACCGGATCACGTGGCACTGCCCCGCCCACTGGTCTGACAGGTGGTGCTGGCCTCGCCCACCAGCTCGACTGCACCACCTGCTTGATCACCCACCTGCTTGATCTCGTGGTACTGGCCCAGCAGTGCGTAGGGGCAATAGGAGATGCTCATGGAGACGATGCCCATGGTACTGATCATAATCATGGCGACATAGACGTTGGCGAACATGGCCATGACGGCCGTGCCGATGGAGAAGCCCAGTGTGCCCAGCACGTAGATGACCCTGATGCTCAGGTCGTAGTTGTCCAGGTACTTCTGTAGCAGGGCTGCAGGGGCAGGGGGAGGCAGTGAGGGCGGCCCCAGCCCACCTGCTGACTACCCTCCATTCTCCATCCACACAGTCTGGCCTGGCCTGTCCAGGGCACTGTCCCTACCATGGCCACTCACCTGAGCAAATAGCACCAGTAGCCGCGTAGATGACCAGCCCCCAGCAGCCCATTTTCACCCCGTCATTGTAGGCCTGCCAGGACGTGGAGTTCGAGGGTGCCTGCTCAGAAACAGAGGTGGGTATGCTGCACTCTCTGGGCACCGGAGAGTTTCCAGGTCAAGGGGAGGTGGGCTGGGTTATGTGTCCCAGGAGAGGGGACAATGACACTGGCCTGCAGGACCCCCACTCTTCTGAGTCTAATCGCTTCTCGGCCTTTTGGCTAAGATCAAGTGTAGGATCTGAGTCTAGGCCTATCCTCCTGCTGACCACCACACACAGTACAAGGAGACTGCCTCTCAGCCTCCCAGCTTGTGCCCTGCACAGGCACACTGGCCAGACCTTGAGGTGAGATCCTGTAGTGGGCAAGGAGAAGCCTGAGAAAGCGCTGTACTGGTGTGGGCCCAGCGGGCTCCCACCCACTGAGTCCTGCTGGGAGCGAAATGGACCACCAAGGTCTAGGGCGTCTGGCCCCAGGGAAGAGGACTGAAACCACTCTGCGCACAGGCAACTCCAGCCCCCAGCCCATGGACGTCCTCAGGCGTTCTCAGAGGGCCCTCACCTGGCCGTGCTGGGCCGTTCCCCAGCCTCTCACCTTGGGGTCCCCCTCGAAGATGACCTGGCCCATGAAGTCAGTGTAGAAGACGGCTTCGGCGATGACGGAGAACCAGGTAAGCAGGTGGCAGAGGCAGAGGCGGGTCAGTTCAGCGGGCATCTTGAGCATGGACAGCCAGAGCAGGCGCACGGTGGTCTCGCCCTCGCCCTCCTCGCTCTCCGTGTCCCCGCTGGACGTGGTGGCGCCGCTCTGGTTGCGGTGCCGACTGCGCTGTCGTTGCCGCGTCTGCAGCTCATACAGGTCATTCATGCTGCGTGAGGACTTGATGAGCACCACCGCGTTGGCACGCCGGAAGCGGTAGCGGTGGGAGCCCACCTTGCCGTAGTAGGAGAAGGTGCTGGAGGCCTGGCGTCGGAAGGCATGCCGGCGCCGGCGCATGGAGCTGGCCGCGGCCGAGGGCTTCAGGTCAGGGCGGGAGTAGGCGCCCAGGCCATCCCTTGGCGGGGAGCTGCTGCCGTTGGGGACCTTGGCCTCGTCGGCGTGGTCTCCAAGCAGCACGGTGTCCTCCTGGATGCCGTCCCTGAGGAAGGTGGACAGGCGGGGCAGCCTGGCCTTGGCCAGCTCCTGGCTGGTGCTGCGAGGCGTGTTGGGGTAGGAGGCGTCATGGAAGATGGACGGCTCGATATCATGCAGGAAGAGCAGCGCGGGCTCCATGTCCAGCGTGGCGTCCGGCACGTGCAGGACCGAGTCGCTCTTGCTCCGCACGATGTCCACCTCGAGGTAGTCCAGGGCCAGATCGTGCTCCGACTGTACCTCATCCGGGAAGAGCACGGAGCCGTCCGGCAGGGCTGCGTGGGGCGGGGGCCCCTCTGCCTCGTCGGGGCGCTCCTGCTGGGGGCTGTACTGCTCCTCGTCGATGCTACACAGGTGGAGTACCACGGACACCGTGAACACGATGGCCGCGAAGAAGAACAGCACCTGGTTCTGCGTCCTGAACCAGCTGCCAAGGAAGGTCTGCGTCCAGTCCAGGCCGCCCAGCACGTAGCCGATTGCGCCCCCGAGGCCTGTGAGAGCAGGGAGCACAGTGAGGGCCACAGTGGCAAGTGGACAGGACAGAGAGGATCAGGAGGTGGGCGAGGGGTCCACTGGAGAGCCCAGAGGCCACTGCAGGGTGCTGTCCACTGCTCACAGTCACACCCCTGTCAGGACGCAGGAGCGGGACAGGAGACAACGAGAATGTGCAGGAGGAGCTGGCAGGGCCGGTGTGGGAGGCCGCTCCTCCCAGGGGGTCAGTCCGTAAAGCAACACAGGACTCAGCGAGTCCAGCAGGAGAGGCCAGGGCTGCCCTGTGTTCTCCAGACCATCCTGATGCCAGCGCAGCTCATCCCCCACCCCCAGGCCTGGCCCCTCGCTTATCCCAGGTCCCATGTGCTAGACAGGACAGTCAGGACCCTTCCCAGGCCGAGACCCCACGGCTCTGCCCCTCCTCACAGCCGTGGTGGTCACAGCACAGACAGCAACCCCAGCCTGGTCGCCGAGGATAGGCTCAAGTCACTGGGACCCCACTGTCCTGACAGCCCCACAGTGCAGGGGGCTCTGCCGGGCGTGGAGGCCTCGGCTTACCTGCAGAGAAGGCGTGGATGTTGAGTGCCATGTCCTGCTCCTCACTGTCCACCACGTCCAGCAGGTAGGCACGGATGGGCCCTTCTGTGGCATCAGCACTGAAGTCGAGGACCACTACTCCCAGCACCGTAAGGACAATGCCAATGGGCTGCCGGTTGGGAACATCGCCGAGGGCCAGACCTGTGGGGCAGACGGTCTGAGTGACCCCCAGGAACAGACACTCCCGGCCCTTCAGAGAGAGACACCTGCTGTGTTCAGATGTGGTGACTGTGCCGGGCTGCTGTCTACAGGTGCCACATCCCTTACCCTTCAGGACAGCTGGCCCTCCTGACCTGGCCATGGCACAGTGGCCATGGAGGAGGCAGCACCATGGTGTCTGCCTGGGGTGGGCTCTGGCGGGCCGCCTGGGGTCCTCCCAGGGATTTGGGCTGAAGCAATGACCCTGCAGAGGGGGTGCAGCTCAGGGGAGGGGTGTTTGGAGGGGAGTTAACACAAAAATGCACCTGCTGCCCATATTGTGGGGACGGCCCTCACCCACCCCAGCAGGGTCATGACCACTCTCCCCTAAAACTGTTCAAAACCCCCCTTCTCTGCCCCTTCCCCAGCTCTGAGCCCAGGCACGGCCCTTCCTGGAGCCTCCTCGGCCACAGCTCTGGGCACCCCTCCTGAGCACCTCCACCTGAGGGTGCTGGCTGTGGGCAGCCCCGTGTCGGCTGTGCCAAACTGTGGCCAGAAAACAAGGTGGTTTGCCACATGTTGACCGGTGCCCATTCCCATGTGTCTCCCCGGTTCCCACGTGCAGTCGTTGAAGACGACAACAAAGAAGGAAAAACAAAACAGCACGTGGGGTGTGTGAGCCGAGCCCAGCGTGGGGTTCCTGTGCTGTCGGCTCCGGGAAGCGGAAGCTCGGTGATAAGGAGGAGATAACGGGGAACTGCAAGCAGGACGCCGTCCAGATACAGCAAGGCCTGAGGCGGAAGCGTTTCCCTGTGAGCCAGGTCCCGCCGCTTTCCCACCACGGCCACTCACCGATGGCCGAGCCGTTGAGGAAGAGTGCTACCCCGAAGAGGACGCCAATGCACAGGGCCAGGATGAAGGGGCGCCGGCGGCCCCAGCTCAGGGTGCAGCGGTCACTGGCCGAGCCGATGAGAGGCGTGAAGATGAGGCCGAGGATGGGGCTCAGGAACCAGGTGAGGCTGTAGTACTGCTCCGGAAGGCCTGGGGACACGCAGGCGGTCACGTGCACGCACGGGCAGAGCGTGCGGCAGGTCAGTCACACAGAGAGAGAGAGACACACATACACACACAGACCCCCCCCACAGGCAGAGTGTGCAACAGGCCAGTCACACACACACACACAACACAGGCTCTGGTCACACAGACAGTCACAGATGTCACAGGCCAGTATCCTCTCTCTCACACCCAAAGAGAAAACACACACACGTCATGAAGATGCATACACCAGTCACACACACATGCACAGCCCAATCTCTAGCTGTATGTCTGTCTGTCTGTCTCTCTCACATCTTTCTCTCTCTCTCTCTCTCTCTCACACACACACACACACACACAGGCTCTGGTCACACAGACAGTCACAGATGTCACAGGCCAGTATCCTCTCTCTCACACACAAAGAGAAAACACACACACACACACACACACACACACACACACACGTCATGAAGACGCATACACCAGTCACACACATGCACAGCCCAATCTCTATCTGTATGTCTGTCTGTCTGTCTCTCTCACATCTTTCTCCCTCTCTCTCTCTCTCTCTCTCTCTCACACACACACACACACACACACACTCTCTCTCTCTCTCTCTCACACTCTCTCTCTCTCTTCAGGAGTCTGAAGGCCAGGCCTGCCAGGGTTCACCCGCTCATACCCCACTCTGCTACTAGGAAAAGCTGGGCAGGTGGGCAGAGAGGGGCGGTCGTCAGAGCGGGGAGCTCAGCCTCGATCTAAATGGTCCACCTTGACCCCACACCGCACAAATGTCAGCAGCGGAACTGGATACTGGCTGAGACCTGCTGAGTGGACAGACACTTCCAGAACCAATCTGCTTCAGCTGGGCAGTGCACACAGGCCTGCTTCCTCATCTCTGGTTGCGGAGTCACTCTGAGGGGTCAGTGCTGGAATGGCCAGTTATGCTGCCATGGTCCCCATGTCAAGGCCACATTTCTCAGAGCTGTCCAGACAGGGCTGTAGCGCTGCAGCCCTGCCCCTGCCGTCCCCGTAACGGCCGAGAAGCCAGCGAAGGGCCAGTGTACAGAGCCTGCAGGGCTATCTGCACCTACACTTGTACGTGTACACACACACCTGCTCATGGCCCTCACACACCTGCACCATGGACCGAGGGCCGGGCTGGATGGCACCCGGCTCTGCAGCTGACCGAGGACTGAGTGTCCACACACAGTCAGTGAGATTTGTCGAAAGCCTCACCTTAGCCTTCAGCCCTTGGTCAATGTCATTTGCTCACCAGTCACTGCTGGTGGTGACCACCATGCAATGGCCACCCACCTGCCCAAGCCCTACAATGGTCCACATGTGACCTGAGGTGCTGGCCAAGAAAATCCCATGGGTCAGCCCGTTTCTCTAGAGAAAGCCCAGATCCGGGGCGGGCAGATGCCAGACAGCTAGCTCGGTGAGAAGGCGGCCGCCCCGTGACCAGCACTGGCGTCCTCAGACGCGGCATTTCCAGCCCAGCCATAAACAAACAGAACTGCTCATAGTAAATAATTTTGTTTTTTTCCAGGCATATGCTGGACAACAATGGTGGGACCAGGAAGGCTGCTGGTTCACAGGAAACGCTGGCTGTGTCACTGCGGCCGGGCGGGGAGGTTGTGGCTGCGGTGAGGGGCGCACGGCACGTGGGCAGCTCTATTCCCAGCGCCATCCCGCTGAAGTGGTTCTGGGGGTGGGGAGCTGACGAGTGTTTAACAAAAGATCCGGGTGGGAATAGGAACTCGCATTTTTTCTCTCAATAGACAAAGCCTCCCACACTGAGATAGGTTATGTTCCAAAACAGAAACTCCACGATAAGATTCAACCCGTGAGAACCAGCTCCTGGTGGGAAAAACTGGGCATCCCGGGTGACCTCTGACAGACTGGAGCAGGAGGCTCTGGAATTGACTGCTTCCAGGGCCATGGAGTGGAGGGAGGGACCCCTGGAGGGGAACAGAGAAGACAGGGACAGAGGGAGCCCAGGAGTGGGATGAAATGACAGGGGGGAGAAGGGAGCCCTGGAAGGGCACGAGATGACAGGGACTGAAGGCCACTCAGATGCTCTCCTTGGGCTCCTTGTGCAGGGGTCCACAGTGAGTGTCCGCTGAGGAGGCACGTGCGCGCATGGTGCTACCATGCCTGTGAGAACACGCGTGCACACACACTGCTCAAGCAGCACCAGGCAGCCCCTCACAGGCGAGAGGTTTGGCGGCAGAGGAGAAGGTCTGAGGAAGCCCACCACGGGAGGGTGGTGATCAGAAGATGCGAGGAGATAAGATTCTTGTTGTGGGGGAGCATCAGAAGGTGCTGGGATGATACTCTCGATACAGGGACAGGCTCACTCTGTCACTTCCTTTCCCGTGGGAGTGATGACATCTGTCCCCGGGGGACCTCGGGGCTCCTGCGCGTCAGGTGACGATGACGGTTAGCCAGCGGCTACTGCGGCCCAAGAACAGCGGAGCTGAAGCTCACAAAAGGGTCCAGGAATCTGATCCTGGTGGCCCATCTTGGTCAGAGAAAATGTCCAGGGGACAGGTGGATGGGTACCAGACTCTGCCCAGATCTCAGGTCCCGGTTAGGTTAGGTGCTGTCCCTCTACTGTCCAGGAGCAGACACTGCTCACTGGTGCCCAGGACTCTCCCGGGGGCAGTGTTCCTGCAGCCCCACTGGGGCCTGTCCTCCCCATCAGGAGCGGGACGTGGGGCTCTCTGGCTCGTGAGGAGGCAGACGTCCATCCACACCGCCCTTTCAGACTGTGCGATAAGCCAGCATTTCAGTGATGACAGAAGCGATGTCATCTTAGCTGGACAAGGACTTGTATGGCTCTTAGGTTGGGACTCCGGGAGCTTCCTGAAGTGCACAAGAGCACGTGTGTCGGGGAGCTGCGCCCCTCAACTGGAGCCTGTCTGGGTCTGCCCCCCCAACATTCAACATACCCGAAGCCAACTCTTCAGTGAAAAATCCCCTTTCAGTGAGCACCCCCCCCATGCTGGCCAGAGACCCAGGAGTCACCAACGAGTCACCACAGTGGGGTGGCTTCCAACACATGCACCCCCAACCTCACCAAGCAGGGCAGAATTCAGACCTCAGGGGACAGCTCAACGGTGTACCACATAACCAGGGAGCTCCCAGAGCATGGGGTCATCTACCCTGGACAGACGACATGCAAGACATGTGGACTCCACGCCCAGCTCCACTGGGCCTCATCGGCTTTCGTAGGGAAAGCTCTTAAGAAGGATGAGGACTCAATCTTTGCTTTCAGCCCTGTCAGGGCAAAGGTCCACTTCGGCCCTCAGGTTCCTGCTGATGACAGTCAAGTCCCTTTCAATACATGGCCACCTGGCCGCCTTCCAAGTCACAGGGGGCTGGGGTGGGGGCTGCAGACCACCAGACCTTCCCTCTAAGTCACAGCGATCAGGGAGCAAGGGCATCAGGTCCTTGAGTTGCCAGATGGACGCCAGAGGCCCAAGGACTCACAGGATGTACGTGTAATGTGAGGTCCTGGCTAAGGTGAGAGGGGAAAGCGATGGAAGGGAAACAGGAATTGTCATTTATTGCCTTTGATGATGACATTTAAGGTTTCCACGCCTCGGTCCAGCTCCAGAGGCTCTCAGTGGTCCGTGCCAAGCAGCTCCAGCCCAGCCTCACTCTGGTCCAGGGGTCAGAGCCCACAGCAGAGTGCTGATGTCCCAAGGTCTGAGGGCCCAGTGCCCAGATGTCCATCTCACCCTATGCTAACAAAGTCAGGAACCACAGGGGAGTCACAGGCTAGGTTGTGGGGTTCCTGTCATGAACCCCCACTTTACCTCTCAGGAGATGGGTGGGCAGCCTGATCTGTGGTTTTTAGAGAAATAAGGCTGTGATGCACCCCAGCCATTCTGTCCTGCCCTGGGACCTGACACAGGGTCTCTGGAATGATCTGTTCCACATACCCAGGCCCCTGCTGCATTGACACAGCAGTAAAGGTGGCTTGAGGTAGCACCTCTGTCCTCTGTCCACCCTTCACCACACACCAGCATCTCTCAGAAGCAGAATACATCACAGTCTGCATCTGCTTCAGAAAGTTCTGGAACCTATTTGGTGGGATCTCAACTCCTGGGCCTGGCCTCTGTCCCCATACCTGGGCACCAGGTGGTCTGACCCTCACACTGACCCAGGTGTGGCCCCTCCAGGCGCTCAAGGGTCTGAGAGGCACTTGCCCTCCTCCTCTGGAGCACCTGGTCACTCCAGTGGCCACCACTGCTGCGCAGCCCACTGGCCCTCCGGCCGAAGTCCCAGGCCTGGTAGTGTGCATGCTTGGCAAAGTGGATGGCACTCCTGACTGCATCCGTCCTGTCCCGTCCTCTCCTCTGCATGGACCCTCCGTCCTGTCCC